CGCTGGGGGTGTTGTTGCTAGGGGGATAGGAGTGTTGATGCTGGGATATTACCACGGGGTACCTCTGCCCACAGCCAGGGGTGGGGGCGATGCCAGGAGCTAGGGGCTACCCCTGGATAGAGGGTGGAGGGAGCACTGTTCGGCCCTCCATATCCCACCTCACAGCTGGTTTATATCAGCCGGGACCACCTTGATGCAGGGGGAATGAGGGTCCTTGGGGACATTCAGACCTGGCCGACTGGGGGGGCTGGCCTGGCCTGGGGACCCTCCTTGGCCCCAGTGTTTGGGAAACAGTGCACGAGGGGGTGGGGACCCATCCGTTTAGGGTGCTGGTGCCAGGAGGTCAGGCCATTGGGGTGGAGGATGGGTGCAGATGCTTTTATCATCCCCCATCCCTTTTTTTGCTCCTTTTCCTCCTGCCTCACAGATGGGGAACTGGGCAGGGGGATTGTGGAGATGGTGGAGGAGCGCCAGCCCCCTGCAGCATGGCCCAGTGCCGCCTCCCTCCACGTACCCAGTGTCTGGCCCAGTCCATCCCCCCCAAGCCTGGTCCAGGGGTTGAATGCCCTGACCCCGCGGAGTCCTGCCCCCCCGCTGCCCCGCCTGGCACGCCAGGCCTCCTTCGACAGCCAGGACTTCCTCCAGGTACTGCCGAGCCCAGCTCTGCCGGACAGGGTGCCCGTGCGCCGCTACGCCATGGCGGGACACCCATCCTGGCCATGGCCGGGGGCACGATGGGCTCCGCTGCCCGCCGCCCTGCTGCCCGCCTGGCACTGCCAGCTCGCAGCCGGCTCCGGGGCTGCTCTGACGTCAGCTGTGAGCCGGGCTGTATCCTGGGAGAAATCAGTCCACGGTGCCTCGTTGCCATGGCAATGCAATTTGTTGCGCGCCTCCAAATCCCGCATCGCTTCCCCCGTGGCCACGGGCTCGGGGCCTGGCGTTGCCAGGACGGGCAACGGGGACATGCATCGGGATGTTCTGGCATGGCTGGGGCTGCCAGGGGGCGGGCACGGGGGAACCCAGCCACGGCGGCCTTGCACACGTGCGTGTGTGTGTGTGCACAAGCTGGGGAGGACTCTCGGGGCACCAACTAGTACAGGGCATACACACGTGTGTGCATGTGCAGGTGAGTGTGTGTGTGTGCGTGCGCAGCACATGCACACATGGAGTGTGCACAGTGAACACGCGTGTGCGTGCAGTGTGTTGACGTGTGTGCATGGCGAGGAGGGCCCTATCTGCAGTGAGTGGATGTGTGTGTGTGAGTGTGCACATAAACACACATGCATGTGTGTTTATGGTCAGTGCGTATGTATGAGTGTGTGTGTGCACACATGGTTACACGAGTGGGCGTGTGCAGGCGTGTGTGCACTGAGCATGTCTGCGTGTACACGTATGTGCATACATATATGAGTGTGTGAGTGTACGCAGTGTGTGTGCACGCAGTACCAGAGTATGGGTGTACTAACAGCGTGGGAGCGTGCACGGGTGTGTGTGTACCCACTGCCCTGCACGTAGTGGCTCTGACCATCCCTCTGCACACACTCTGCCATCCCTCTGTGCGCGTGTGCCTGTGACACACGTGTGCACAGATGCCCCAGGCCCTGCGGGGTGGGCACCGAGCGGGGCTGAGCCCCATCCCAGGGTATGGGGGTCCCAGAGGGGGAGTGGTGGCCGGGGGCGGGCAGGGTGGCCAGGGGCTGTGACGCCCCTGCCCGCTCTGGTAGGTCAATGTTGAGGACACTGTCGAGATGCTGCCCAAGTCGCGGCGCGCGCTGACCATCCAGGAGATCGCTGCCCTGGCCCGCTCCTCACTGCACGGTAACTGCCCGCCTGGCCCGGGGCGCGGGGGTGTTTGGGGGGGGTATCTGGGGAAGGGGGAAGTCTCCTCTGGGTGAGGGGGCTGGAGGTCTTGGGAAGGGTATTGTGGTCACCCCTCTGGGGTTTGGGGGACACCCTGTGGTCCCCAAGGGTACCAATGGGCTTGCTGGTGGCACCCAAGAGGAATGTGTAGAGGTGCCAGGTCCCAAGGGCTGGGGGTGAGAGGTGCTGGGTGCTGGTGGGCTCTGCAGAGGGGACTCGGGGTGCCCGGTGGGTGCTGACACGGGGGCACATCTCGCAGGCATCTCGCAGGTGGTGAAGGAGCACGTGACGAAGCCGACGGCCATGGCGCAGGGCCGCGTCGCCCACCTCATCGAGTGGAAGGGCTGGTGCAAGCCGGTGGAGCCACCCAGCGCCCTGGAGAGCGCCTTCAGCTCCTACTGCCACCTGAGCGAGGGCGAGCAGGAGGCGCGCTTCGCCGCTGGTGGGCACTGCGCAGGGCACGGCTGGCGGTCACGGTCCCCTGCCGCGGCTGAGGGCAGGGGTGGTGGGGCAGGTTGTCTCCATCCATCCATCCCTCTATCCCTCCATCCCTTGGTGCCATGGCACCATAGCCACAGACACGCTGGGGAAGAGAAATTTTGGGGCCACCTCCCAGTGCACACATGACCTATGCCTGTCCCATACCAGGTGTGGCAGAACAGTTTGCCATCGCTGAGGCCAAACTGCGAGCCTGGTCCTCGGTGGACGGGGACGACTCCAACGATGAGTCCTATGATGAGGACTTCATGCCCTCCACGGAGAGCTCCCAGCCCACCGGTAAGTTCCACGGGGAGCGGGCATCTGCTGGGTGGCCAAGGTATCCCACTGATGGTGTCGGTGTCCCAGTGTTGGTGTCCCCCTGCCAGTGCCAAGGGTTGGAGGAGTGGGGTGCCTGATGCCTGGCCACGTTCCCCAGCCTGGCTGCCCCTCATGGGGCCGTGCCCCTGCCTGGCCCCATGGCAAGCAGTGCCCGTGCTGGGGATGGGGATGAAGCCCTGCAGCACGGCACCATCCCTGGTACCAGGGCGTATTTTGTTTTTCCTTTGGTAGCCACTGGTGCCACTCACACAGCAATTTTTGGGCAAACAGGGCACCGTGGCCAGCATGGGGCTGCTCCCATCCCACTGCTCCCATCCTTCAGGGCACGGGGAGGGGGGGCAGCTGGCAGCCCCTGGTGCCATCTGCTCCCAACTGATCCCGGGCATCCCGGTTCCCTGCAAAGCTGCCTGGCACGGTACCCACCAGCGCGTTGCTGCGAGACCTGCTGCAGGGCCACCTCTGCCAGTTGGGCGTGCGGCACGGCTCCTGCGAGCCCGAGAGCGACTCCTCGCACACCCTTTCCCCCGAGACCCTCTGCTCCAGCCTCTGCAGCCTGGAGATGGTGTCCCCCTCCGAACTCACTGCCAAACTGCTGGGCTCCCTGGGGAGCGAGGACCTGCTGCTGCCCAAGCTGCCCCCCCCGGCCAGCCAAAGTGCCTTGCGGAGCCTGGCACGGCTCCGGTGCCAGGACTCCCTCTACTCCATGTCCTACGCCGAAGCCTGCCTCTCGCCCGCCGAGGACGAGGTGGTGCTGAGCAAGGACTTCCCGCTCCGCCGGAAAGTCTCCGACGTCGCATCCTCTGGGGTGGCATCACTGGAGGAGGAGGAGGAGGAGGAGGAGGAGGAGGTGGCTGAAGAGCCCTGATGCCCCCCCTGGGGTGCCCTGCCTCTCCTGGCGGGGGTCCAGCTCCCCCGCTGTCGCTCCACC